GAATCAAAATGTTTTTATTTCAAATATTGAAAACATTGATTCCACAGCTTAAGTGATAAAAAGGAGGAAAAGGAGGATTCTGATGTGAAAAGGAGGAAAAAGAGGACATGCTTAGGGGAAATGAGGAAAAGGAGGAGGTTTCACATGCCAGGGCCTAGCTGGAAATATAATAGAGGAGAGTGGGGCTATTGCAGACAGCTATGTAAAATGGTTGAGAAAGTGCAAATATGATGTAAATCACTTTTTGATAAAACTGTAGGTGCTGCTAAAAACTGTCCGCTGCCAAAAAAGGTGTATAACATCAATCCCTACTATTGTAGATCAATTGACACTTGTTTTGCATTTGAAATAAATATTTAGCCCATAAAAAAGATAAAAATATACGATCTAACAGAAGTTTTTATATGTAAGATGTACGAAGTTGGCATGATGTTCAGTAACATTTTTTTATAAGTTATTATTTTGTTTCTTAATTATTTATAATATCCATAGAGACACATGTATGATATTAAAAGATAACGAAAAATACAGGCCCTTAATAATTTCATACAGAATATCACGATACATTGAAGAAAAACGCAAAAAATATGATTTACATTGTTTTTCTTTTACTGAAGTTCGATAGATTGCATCTACCAATAGGAGCATTGCTGAGACTATAGTAGGCATGGGTAGGTTTTTGAATCAGAATCAAGAATGAATCGGCTGGTTCTGGTCACGGCTAAGTGAACATTTAGAAAAGAGGATATCAAAAACTGAATTGGTTGCACTGGTAGCAAGATGTCTTGAAATCATTGAGAGTGAAAGTGGACTATTTACAGCTTTCTACTACAAAAATGTCCACTACTTTCGATGCCAGGAGATCATTTTTTGACCGGAAGTGTCACCAGAACCGAGAACACCAACGTCTCTCATGTTTACTTCAAACTCACTATTGTTTCGACAAGTATTACAAATAAGCTCAGACTCATTGCATGAACGTATATATAGCCAATAAATAACGAGGTTTTATTGAACACACATATTAGATATATCCAAAGTTTGTATATGTCAAGTACATTCATAACCTCAAAATATTGACTGGCGTTAAATTTTGTAATAACTGTAAGATCGCTTTGTGAGCAAATAAATGAGAATAGGTTCTCGTATAGATAATTCTCCCCACTCTAGTAATGTTTCAATCAGTTTTACTAAACATGCTTGCATGTTTTATTTCAATAACGTTGGACGATTCTTGCGTGATATTTGAGCGGATAAGGTACCCTTAGCGATCTTTGACTCTTTTTTTTTAATAAAACTACTAATTACTTATTATTTGTTCAATAGCATTTAGCAGTTCTTTTTCATCATACGTCGGTGAATTTTGTGCAGGAGTGTAGACTCGAACTAATAAGAACATTTTTCTCGACAAATTCTTTATATTCGCCACTGATAATTTATTATACGACTGAGAAAAAAAAACGGTTGAACGGCTATATGTGTGTTTAGACAGAGTATCTCTGCTCTTCCTCTGCCCGTAGAATAGTCAAAGAATTGACTAGTTAATAAATCGTGTGCATAATACGAGTTTAATCGAAAGGCTATTATTACTCTGTAATTCTACACCTTGTGTTTCCGAAAAAACTAATGTCATCATAAAAGATTTGTCTAACCGATTGTATATTTAATCTATTTTACGCGCTGAATATTTATTTCGAATGCAAAACAAGTGACAATTGATCTGCATTAATAGAGAGTGATATTATTGTCAGCAATTACTCCACGTGAGGTAATTGCAGACAAGTTGTGAGAGCAACTAGAAAAAATGTGGATGAACAACTTTGAACAGTTATTTCTTGGTAATTTTTAGATGAGTTTATAGGGCTGACATTGTCCTACATGTTTAAAAAAGTTTTAAAAAATTCCAAAAATTGACCGAGTTATGATCGTTACAAGTTAAAGGAGTGATTTTTTTGTCTGCAATTACCCCATACTACTCTACATCAATTAGGCAGTGAAATAGAAAAGAAATTTGTTAATAAGAAACAATCGTTGCTGACCTATCGTATCGTACGATGCTCCATTCATTGACTGTTGTTCTATTATTGTTCGTTTGAGAAAATGAGCATCGTCCACATATACTTGTGCAGCTTATATATACGTTCATCTTTTTTTTTTCGTTAGCTATTCTTATTGTCAGTCGTCAACACCTTTTACTTTGAATGGCTGAGAAGGAGGTGATTACTCAAAAAATTCATAGAGTTCAATCTTTTTACACTTCCTTCATTAATTTAGCTGCTTTTTGGTTTCAGAATCAGCAGAACCACAACATTTCAAAAATCGAACAATTATCTCAAGATTATCATCTAGGAAAAATTTCTTACGAGCAATATTCTGTGGCAGTAACAACAATTCTGAATCCACAATTTCAACCACCTTCGATTTAACTCATTCATTTATGTACTGATATTTCTGTTGTGATGTTATGGGCCATTCGATAGTTTCTTTTTTTCTTATTCAATGGTTCTTCTTTTTTCTCATTCAACGATTCTTCTTTTTTCTCCTTTAATGATTTATTTTTTTCACTTCGTTGACACATTAGCAATTTTTTTCTTCATGTAAATCAGTTTTACTAACTTTGGAATATAACTACAATCAGATATAAAGTGTCACGAATGGCAATACTACGAGTTGTTACATCGTTAATGAAAAGACAACTATTAAAAGAAATTTCATTCTTCTTTCACATGTCATTCACTATTACAAATCTATCCGTTTCGAATTCGTATGATGATAAGTCTTCATTAGCTGTCACTGTAAATGATTCATATCGTTGGCTTGAAGATCCTGATTATGATGAAACAGGTAAAATTGTTTCAGAGCAAACTGTAATTAGCCAAGGTTATTTAAATAAAATTCCTTATCGTACAAAATTCTTTGGACATCTTAAAGAAGAATTTGATATTCCAAAACTCTCTTGTCCATCAAAACAACCGAATGAAAAATATTATTATTTTATGAATACAGGTCTACAAAATCAAGATGTCTATTATGAATTAGATTCATTATCAAAGTCAACTAGTCAAGCACAAATTTTAATTGATCCAAATACATTTTTCTAAGATAGAAAGGTAGCCATACAATCACTTAATTTTTCATATGATAGGAAAATATTGTGCTACAGGTAGAGGAATAAAATCCATTTGTTTGAACTGAGATTAAATGATTTTTCTTTTCCAAGTGTGGCTGATGCGGATTCAAATTGATTGACAATTTATTTCATGGATGTTACATCAACCGAAAAATTCGATGATGTTATTAGTGGAACACAATTCTCATCATTACGTTGGTCAACAGATAATCGTGGTATTTTCTATGTAACTTATGCAGGTACTTTTGATAATATCACATCGAACAATGATTCAACTACTTCTAAGGAAAAGTGGAAAAAGACTCAAAAAGATACAGAGAAGAAAGATGAAGTAAAAATTCTTTTTCTTCTATATATATAGATTGATGAATTTTAGATGAATTATTTTTCCAATCTGATTTTGTCGTTATTTTGACACAAGATCTATTTTATGTTAGAAATTGTTTCTTATTCGGTGGAGAATTAAATAACCTGTTCGAAAGAATGATCAATAAGAAGAGAGACAACTAAATCTTTTTTACTCACACCATTAAAAGTATTCGACATTTTTCTTTTCGATCTTTTCCTTTTTCAATTTTTTTTCTACATTTTCTATTTTCAGCGTTTTCCTTTTCTACGTTACTCACCAAAATCATTTGTTTCTATAGTGAAATTTTCAATCAAAATATCTTTTGCGCGAAACAATGAATAAAAACAGAAATTCGTTTTTTTTCTCGATCTCTCTTTCTTTCTAAGATGCAGTGTTTTCTACATATCAGAAAACATTCATGTATTTTCTAAGTCTTTTCAAAAGCTCCTAGAGTTATGAAGTTCTATAAAGTCGTACAGAATCTCGTGAAGTCTTTTGAAGTATTGAAGTCAGCTGTTTCTTTCTCGAGCAACACACGTATGTCGAAGATATATTAGTCATTTGACAAAAACAAATAGAATTTCTGAGCAAATTAACTTTCATTAAAAAGAAATTTTTTGTAAATTGAATGTTCATGGTATGAAAGAAGTTGAACGTCATTCCATGTCAGCCATTCCTAACAAGTCAAATAAATGCGATTATTACATGAACGTCTTTGTTAGATGATTTCTTGTTTTTGATAATCTCATTTGTTGATTTTGGTTTTTCTTTTTAGCTGTGAAATTCCTTGTTCAAATGTTATTCCAAATGAATTTATGAATAGATAAAGTTATATCACAAAAAAATGATAAAGAACTATTTTATACAAATTTATTATTTTCATCGTATAATCCTTATGTTTTAAATCAAAGAAATTCAACTTGATGAAAATTTGTATCGAATTG